TCTGACATTCACAGCTACAATACCATACATAAACATAATCTGTATGTCAAATTTTGTAATACTGTTCATTGCAAAAAAGGTATAATTAATATGGGAAGTAAAATATTTAATGGCCTTCCCATTGAACTGTAAAGTGTTAACAATTTTTAAGAGGAAACTGAAAAATTATTTCCTGTGCAGCGCTTTCTGTTCTCTTCAACAGATTTTCAACTAATGTTGGCTTGATGACTAGTTTGTGGATTGTCTTTTGGTTTGCAATTTTTAATATTGTGTTTATGTTTTATATTACTGTATTTTTCTTTTGGTCTTATGTATTTTTTATCCTTTTGTTCCTTATAACAGTTGTTATATTATAGTGATAAATCATTGTGTAAATTTTATGTGACTTTGACATGTGATGTATTTCGCTATTATTTCTTGACATATCCGATTGTATTCACTTCAGTTATGACAAAAATAAAGTTCAAAGTTGAAAGTAGAAATACATGGAGAAATTATTCCTCCTAAAAATGGCTGAAATGGTTAGTACTAAAAGATTTCTGCTCCTTATCAGAATGTTAATTGTTTTTCCTTTTTACTATAATTTGGTATATTTTATCCAAAAATCTAAAACATTATATTCAGTTGGATATAATTCTTCATTTTCATTAGTGTTTACCCCTGCAGCATGATAAATATATTATTATTTTTCTTTTCCAGGTTCATGATCAATTAATGACAGAGATATCTCTACTCCAGATTTCATTAGCAAGTGAAGCCTGGCAGCTGTCAAAGAGAGTTGTGGTACCTGAAGGTTGGTTGCAGTTTCATGATTGATTATTGATTCAAATTCTTCAAGTCCAGTTGTGAGTTAAGATAAATTTGAATTTGTGCATTTCATTGTTTTGAACAGGGCAAAAGATTAATTAATTATGTCAGTACTACTTGTACTTTACTGAAATGGTTAACAAGGTTATATGCTACAGTGCTGATTATGCCATTATCGACCTTCTTGAGTAGACTTCAGTCTGCTACACATTGACCTACAGTTAACTTCAAGGACACCATGTCACCAGTATGCTAATTATGGCCACTGGTACAAGTGCAGGAGTCAGAAGACCATAATATTAACACACCACCATTTGGCAATAATTTGTCTATGTTGTTGAGAAAAACATGTTGTCCTCTTTAGTACTTTATTTCATTAAATGAGTGGATGGTCCCCATCGTCCATAACTAGCAACACTTAATACATATGTAAAACTTCCTCTTATGTGTCTCATTTGAGAATGTCTGATGATGGCCATAATCAGTGCCAAAATATGTAACAGTGGTAATCATTTCAGCAAGGTTGCTATTCAGCTGACATACTTAATGTGACACAGTCTGTACCTTGAGTGAAAGATTTGTTTATGGTATAGAATTCATGCAGTTTGATGTGATGGTTGTCCAGATGGTTTAATATTATCAGAAGCAGATGGCATAACAACACAGGAAACTGAAGAGAATAATTTTGGTTATGTTCTGGTATGAAACATTAGTGTCTTCTGGGTTGTGATGCCATGTTGTCTGGCAGAAAGATACCAATGTTTAAGAGAAACATGTTGGCTCCATCTTCAAAGTAGATGCATGAAGCAGGTTTCTTCAAAATGTTAGTACCTTTCTATCAGACTATGTGGCATCACATGCCGGATGGCAGTAATGTTCATGTTGTTTTTGAGGTTTTTACAGTCCTATCTTCTGGAATATAACACTGTGTAGTCCAGTGAAAGCCAAGCGATGCTTTAGCACAGCATATCACAGAGCTTACAGCTTGCTTCATGCTGGTTTCTTGCTTGACGTATTCTTTGACCCTGAAGATGACATTGGAAAGTTCCTCTGAGGTGTCCGCTGACTTTCACTGGACTTCATGATGTTATATTACAGAAGATAGAACCATTCAGTACTGTTCATATTCACTGCCATGAGAATCTAAAATCTCACATGCTGAAATACTTGTGCCCAGAGCTCTCTTTGGATGAAACAGATATGTTATAGGTGCATAGAAGATTTATCAGTTGAGTATCTGTAACAAATAAAATAAAGCAGTTCCTATTATAATGTGAAGTTAATATAAAGATCTGTTTGTGTAATTCTAGATGTGACACTCCAAGCTCAGGAGGTAGTTCATTTTGTGGCTAAGGTGCAGAGGCAGGAAGAAACGGGTAACACTCGTGTTCATTTACACTAGTTTTTATTAACCTTTGATTTTTAAAGTTGCTGTCTACCAGATTCTGTAGGAGTGAACTATTTTCATATATTTATAATTCTAGGGCAGACAGATTTGGTCCTTAATGCATCACCTAAGTCATCACATTCATTGTGTTTGAAATTGATAAGAATATCATAATTCTTTTCAGCAGTAAACTCAGTCCCATGGCCATGGCTGCAAAAAATATTGATAGCTGACCTTGTTTTATTTATTTTTTGCTGATCTAGTCCATGTTGTGACATAATGGGATCTTGAAGTTTTACACTGTTATTTATTTTGTGGTAAAACTGTTTGTATTAGTATTAGTATTTATTCAATGTTCCAGACATCCACAAGATGGATACCGAACTTGTCCTCACTCAGTACATACAGACCAATTACAAAAGTTGTTTACATGGAACATTACAACAGTATAAAATATAAATAGTTAAGGCCTTAGATTACATAAATAAAAAGTTAGAAACATGTCATTTAAGACCAGTCATATTAAATAAGAAATCCACAATAAACAAATAATTATGAGTTACAAAGAGTAAATAAATCCTTCAGATCACAGAAAATTAGATTAATTAGCAATGCACAGGTAGATCTCATAATTATAATGAAACAGGCATTATAAAATGAGTTTACAATGAATAAAAAATCATAAATTACAAATATAATACACAAGTGAGCCATAAGAATAAAAAACCCATTAAGTCCTTTCTTCTGTTTGACACAAGTACTTACTTTTAGATAAAATATATATTGCACAAATATTATACACAAGTATAAGGCCTGTTGAAGTTTCACTGAGAAAATCTGACAGTTCCCATCCCAAGGTACAGTTTTCAGAGATAATCTTTCCATTTATCTACTTTTATACATTACAGTCCGTGAAGGTTTCTTTGAAATCACAGAATGTCCCCACTGTGAACTTGAAAAGTTTTGGAAAGATAGCTTCATACATTAAATAGTTCTGCTACCTAGAGGTAACTTTTCTCAGCAAATATCAAGGCTGCAATACTTACTGAAGGATAGGCACCTGTCACGGTTGTTTATTGTTGCCATGTTCTGGCCCCATCCATAACTATAACAACTCTGACCGCTACATAATGACAGAACTGGAAGCCTTAGTCTTTTATATATATGGATATCTGGTGTAGATATGATAAAAATCACAGGTAACAAATTCACGCTACATATGTGCAATAACTGTTACTGAATAGCATGTATCTGTAGTTTTCTTTCTTTCTTTCTATCATCTTCTTGTTTTTCTTGTTTACTTTCTTAGTGGTCCGTTAATTTCTACAGCATGAATGCTGTCAGTGGTCAGCCTTAGTTATTTCCCATTTTGTTATTGGAATGCATCTAGGAGGTACATTATAGAACAGAACTACATGAACAAAAATCTACAAACAGTTAAGCAAACTATTTTTTACTTTTTTATTTTCTTTTTAATTTTCACATTACAATGTTTTCATTATAAGAGGTAAGTCTGTGGTCTTTTAGGCTCTGATGTGCCTTCTAGGTGGATACCAACATATTAGAATAATCTGCTGCCTCTGTCTTTAAGGTTGAATTTTGCTTCAACCCTGAGGCCTGCATGGGATCGTAACCCAGAAGAATTAATTCCATCTCCAAAATGTTGGTATCCACCAACAAAATTACATGTGTCAAAACTAGGAAGACGTAAATCTATAAACTCTTGCCACTATGAAAACCTGAACTGCTATATATTAAAGGTAATTTCACTCCAATTTGAGGCTGCTTAATTCAGGTTCCATTCTGAACAGATTTTACTTTAGAAACATTTCTGTATATATGATCATGGGGCTGTTTTAACAAAATTTGTTATCTTGAAGCACTTATAAAGTTGTTACTCTGAAGAGGTATGGAGGATTGAATATAGATCAGTGTTTTCTTGACCTCAGTATTAGTTGAAGGTGAATGGTTATCTTCATGCCCCAGCTGCTTTACCCCCTTGGGGAAAGTGCCCTCAGTACCCATTGGATAGGAGGCTGAGTGGGCCCCAGAGCTAGTCTGGATGACGTAGAGAGGAGAAAAACCTTTCCCTTTTTGGGATTTGAACTCCGACCCTTCAGCCGTTCAGCCCATAGCCAGTCACTGTACTGACTGTACTATCCCAGTTCACTCTTGAAGCTGTTATATCATTTATGCATGATACACAATTTAGAAACACTGTACATTAAAGCCCTGGTTATTGTTTTGTATTTGTGTTGTACACATACATGAAATATGCAGCAACGAAGAACCAAAGAACTGATGAATGGATCTTCGTTCTTTTTAACAGGAGAAAAGAGAAGCATTTTTTCTGATGTAACATTGAACCATAATCAAAAACCAACAGGATCTTTAAGTGAGAGACCTTACATTGATTTCTACAATCATCATCTTGCTAGAAAAACAAAGGATTCAGCAGATGGTCCTGATATATCAACACATCAGCTGGACCCTTCAGCCTCTGTTGCTGGCAGCAGAGGTGTTAAAGATTCATCTGTGAAGGATATGGAAGCAGCCCTCAGAGTTGAAGCAGCCCTTATACTCATGTGGAAGGTAACTGAATAAAGATTAGCCAACAGTAACAATCTGATAATCAAGTAGCACTTTACATTCACATCACAGTGATAGCTATGAGACATGACTAAACAGATGAGCAAATCTTGTTATTTGCACTGGTTAAGGTCTCTTGTGATGTAATGCTCTGCAATCTGGTAGATTGATACCAGCATTTTAGAGGAACCTGTAGAATACTCTGGATATTGAAGCAGTGGATTCTTCCAAAACTTTGGTACCCCTCTATCCTATTACAGGGCATCAAAATCCAGAAAGCTGTAATCTTAATGTTCATCACCACCATTATTAACTATTATTAGGTGATTCTCTAACTGTAAATATAGCTCTCAATTTTTTCTTACACACAGCATTTACCTGCATCACTCTAGAAATGCATTGGCCCCCACACCATAGGTGAGTGGTGATGAAAATTATGTTTCTTTGAAGCAAACTGGTCATTCATTCATTCATTCATTCACATTCCATAAAATCCTTACAAGGTTGAAATAACCAATAGATATAGAAATCGTCCAGAAATATAAACTCATCTTGCTTAGAAATCAAGCAGTTGTCAAAATAACAAGTTTATAGTATATAAGATTTAAATCACACCTAAAAATTTATCTTGAAAATAATAAGACATTGACAATTTTAAGATAAAAAATTCAGTCCAAATATTATTTACTAATCATGCTTATACAATACGACAGTTATTTAAAAACCAGTTTATAATATAAGACAAGTTTGAAAGTTGAATAAAATTAGTCATATTACAGCAACCAATTTACAATATAAGATAAAGGTAATATGACCATCCAAAGACTGTGGATAAGAGGATCTTGTTAAATAGCTCACAGATTTATTTTAGAGCTCCACTTTTTGTATATACATGAGAAATAATTGTATATGAGAACAGAAACATATGCATTGAACAGACATTGTGATGTAATGGTTAGTAAATATATTCATGATGTTCTCGAGAGACTAGCTGTCTTGTACACAATGCTAGAAAGGTACCACAGAAATAGTTTCCAACTATTTCCTTTCGTGCCATTCTGCTGGGCAGTGTGTGTACTAGTAGTGCTGTAGGTATGTGTTCAACAGATACATGATTCATATTTCAGCCATGTTACCATCTGTTTTGACTGAGGTTTTATAATTTCCCCATTAACACTAATGAAATCGCTTATGACTTCCAAATCAGCCCATCATTTGACTCTGTATAACCTGTTCAGCCTACAAAGTATTGTTAACTGTTTAAAGCACAGTGGTTTGCTGTATATACCATCTGCCTTAACATCAGTAACTCTGCATTTTGTTCACAGGATGTATTTATGAGTTTTTTATGATTCTCAGAATTAGCATTGCTTATTTCCTTCAACAGCATGTGTCCTGTGAGATAAAAACTGCATTTTTAAATATTCAAATGAGTTTGAGGCTGTGAGAGATTAAATAAGTAAAAACATTATATTGGTTATTTTGTTGAATCCATATCTTATGATCGCACAGTACTGAGCCAGTTGGCTCAAGCTGTAACGCTTCTCACTGCTGGCAAGGTTCCCAGTTCCCCAAGACACCAACTATCCTGACTGAGGTTTTTGGTGGTTTTCCTAATTCCCTCCAGACAACTGTCAGGATAGTACCTAGCCATCCACATCCTCTTCAAATCATTATTCACAAGTCATTGTACAATTTGACATTATGTAGTTGGAGTTACTGACAGTGTCTTTAAATAAAACACAAATAAATAGAAGATATTGTTGCATTTTGTAGGCCTGTGTGACTGATGGTGGAGGCAAGAAGCGAACTGCTGTTGGCCAACACCACGTTATGGTGAAGAAAGTGGGAACACCCATAACATGGCCTCCAGAAACTGTTGGGCCACTGCAGGAACAAGAGTTAATGGGACCTCTTAGAATGTTTGGCCCAGATGATACATCATATAGCAGCCCTGGGGCATCAGAAAAATATGCACCCCTAGAAACTCTTCAGAAACTAGTCACTTACAGTATTTGGCACCCTCCCCGAATTATGCATGACTTCAAGCAATCCCGGTAAGGCATACCAATGTTCTGTTATGTTGCTGCTTAACATGTGTCTGCAGCAGTAGATGACTGTGAGTAGTCTTTTTTCTGAGTTATGGTTATCAGGTGAAGACTAATTAACCACAGTGCTAGAGCTGATATTACTTTTAATTAAATACTTACTTGTTTCCTTATGGCTCTTTAAAGTGAGAAGTATTGGTAAATGTTCCATTGGTTTAGCATCAAAAGATTCATTTCAGTTACATGTGACATCATCTTTCAAGGCAGACTATACATGCAGGGCTCTACAAATGCTGGTTGAGTTCACCAGTCAGACAAAAGTTCCACCCACCAGATATTTCTTCATGAGAAACCATGCCTGTCCACACTGCTGTAATTTCTTTGCACCAGCCTGCTTCTTTATATAACATACAAAACATATAAAATACTGACCATTATATTATACAATATGTACACAAGATGTCAGTTTTTTTTATTGCTAGTGGGGTGGGACTAAGTCCCTTGTACTGTGGCCACTTCCGGCCTATTGTACCAGCCCCAGATGGGTGATTGTGGAGCAGTTGGTGGAATGAAGATTGACAGGGGGAGCCGAAGTACTCAGAGAAAACCTGCCCCAGCGCCACTTTGTCCACCACAAGTCCCACTTGACCAGACCCGGGATCGAACCCAGGCCGCCACGGTGGGAAGCCAGCGATTAACCGCTTGTGCTGTGGCGTGGCCCAAGATGTCAGTTTCTGTTTGATATCTGCAGAAAAATAAGAAGATCCAGAGCAAAATGGTAATAAATAAATTAAAAGGTTTTATAAGTCTCCAAATGTTTATCTCATGAATCCTTATAACCATTATTAAGATTTCTTTCATGCATTATACACGTACTTGATGAGATGCATCCAGAAGTGTATTAATTCTGTTGATAAATATTGGCCTTAAAACAAATTAAGTCAATTAAATTTACATACATTAAATTTATGAAACTGACTTCCCTGTTCTATAACCAGCCAAGTGCCATGTCAGAGATAAAGACTGAGGATATGTTAATGTACTGCCTGGTCAGGGCTGTCTCATGCTTCAAGCAGCAGTGAGAGATGAGTAAGGAGCAATGGGAAGATGATAATTTAGCAGGGGAAAGTCAAAACAGATTGGGGAAAGCCCTGCTCCAGTGCTACTTCATGCACCATGTATCTCACATGAAGTCACCGAAAGTACCACAGTGTGAATCCAGTGTCTTCCTGTGTGAGCTACTCGACAGTATCATCAAAATTAAAATCTGTTAAAGGACATTATATGTAGCCTATATGTTAAAATGCACAATGGTAATGAAAGTGAATGAAGCCTACATGTTGTAATAGTCAGCTCATATATATATATATAACTGCCCCATATCAGGTTTCATCATAATCTGTTAAAAGACTCAAAAGAGGAATATTCAGAGACCACACACCTCATACCAGAAGACTCTAATACTGATACCACCATGGGAACCCCTGATCTCACAAAATATTTAAGTTAATTTCTGTACTGGTAAATAGTTTGCAGTGCAGTTATGGCATGTTTTGATATTCTCTAAGCTCCACTTTTAATAATATTATGTATTTTCTAGACTCTGTGTGGTGCCCGTCAGGCTCACTCTTCAGAACTGCTCAGATAGTTGCCTTGTGATCAAAGTGAACACTTTGGGGAACAGTAGGTGAGTACTGCAAATCATTTAATTTGCTTTGATCTGCTTATAGCAGATTGATATATTAAAGGTTACTGTCATCTAGGTTGTGATACCATGTAGTCTGGTGAATCATTACCAGCATTTCAGAGGAACATTTTTAATGATCTACCCGACTGCACAGAATCAGATTTCAAAAAACAATAATCTTCACAGTCACTGCTGTGAGAACTTCAAATCTCACAAAATAATATTTAATTTTCTTCTTTCTTCTTGCAGTTCTGCTTCTTCTGCTAATAAAAGCCGGTTGTGCTCGCCACATTCATCTGGTTCATTCCAATGGGTGGGGTTAGTAGGAGCGTGGCTAGAAGTGGGACCACATAAATCTGAAAGCATATGTCTCTCTGCTGCAGTGGGATCTCCAGGGACATATGACCTTGGGAGTCGTTTGGAAGTGTTGTGTAGGTCTCCAGGAGCACCAGAAGTGGATGCAGTTTCACAGAGTTGGCACATTGAATCGGCATGCATAGTCAGTAGCTCTCCCCCCAGTGATTCATAGTCTGCGGTAGTGTTGCAGTTCTTCTGACACAGCATGAAGTTAATGCGGTTATCGCCTCTCATTATCACGAATAAATTGCCCCTCTGTGTGTTACTGCACTGACACAGTGGAAAGTTCAGCGACACTGTGGTTTGGCATCGTAGTGAAGTCATTGAATTGTGATGTATCTCTTCATAATGGATCTGTGTCTTAACACTTTGCAGACCAGCGATTTAAATATTTAAATCACCCTGGGGACCGCCATTTTTATACCTACTACCCTAACTTGTGCACTGTTCACTTCAAAAAATTAATATAAAATCTCCTAATTAATTTTATGAACTAAAATTTTTGGAGAACACTTACCAATGCTCCTAGAAGTGCTTGAGAGTGTGATATTTCTGGAAACATTCCCCTTTGTGAAGTGGCATTACACAGAACTTGCAATGTAGAGAGTCATACTCCTTTTTTTGTGAACTGTGCAAACACGGCATTGCCTAGAAGGATGCTTCCCTTTGGAATGTTCACTCTTCACAACTTTCACGAGGGTATGTTTCCACATATCACCCAAGAGTCGCCCAGGGGTGTCCACATGAGGCCTGCGTGGGGTGGGAGTTGATGGGTTAGGTCACACTAAGTCTGACTCTCATTCTGCTTCCACCATCTGGTCTGTAGCCCAGGCCTTTGCCACATTCATCAGAAATGCTTTGTATTTCAATTTTGAATCGGGGTTTAGATTTTTGTAAACCAAAAATGAATTGAAAATGGCATAATTTATAAGCCACAAGGCAACTTTCACTTTTATTATCTGTGGTCACAATTCTTTGTTGACCCCTGTCACTTCCACTATGAGTCACTAATCACTACTCCTCCACAAGGCAGATAGCTCATCAGAGAACATGTCAGAGATATCGCATTGCCTTCAACCGCTTTTGTGCTTTGTTGCGGCGTGACGGGGGGGGCGTGGAGGTA